CTCGCCGTCGGCCCGCCAGGCCCGGCGGAGAGCGGGGCCGAGCCGCGCTGCGCGGGGGTGCTTCACCTTCTGAGCCTCGGCCCTCTGGCGCTGCGCCGGGGAGCCCCTGCTTACAGCGGGGGTAGAGCAGTGCCGGCCCCCGTCCCTCGCGAACGTTTGCCGGGTTCCCGTGCCCTCCGCTGAGAGAGCGGCCCAGCCAGGCATCGCGGGGCCCTCCAGGCCCAGTCTGAGGCCTCCAAGCCTGGAGCTCTGATGTGGCGTGCGGGGATCGGAGGCCTCTTGTCATTGCGGCACTGATCACCCGCCTCGTCCGTGAACCGGTTTGCTCAGGTAGCTCAGCTAGTTCAGCCTGAGAAACGTCAGGAAGGGATAAACCACCGTCTTCATGGAGACTTACTCGGTTCTTCATGTGATATTTACGTACAGAGGGCTTTTGCGTTGCTCTCTACCAATCGATGGCAAACGACTGTTCTTCTGGGTGGTGTTTCTTGGGAGACTGTTGCAGGTGATTGCATCACATAAACTGGATTTGCTTCCTTGATAGAGTACTGTGCTGACAACGAGCTCGTAGTCCCCTTAAAAGTGCTGCGGCTTTATAAACTGAGTGTAATGGACACTTATAAGCTGCTGCCCAGTGATTGTCTTCTTGCAGCAAAGTTATTTTTCACAACAGTTTAAATGGGCTAATTTCAGTTACTTCTGATGAAGGGTTCTGCGAATGGTTTTCACAGACCTAGAACTGTTGTATTAATTTGTGCTTTAATGTGAGAATTTTGTAGACATTGACTTGTCAAATAAAGTATCCAGTACGTCCAAAAAATGCTAATATCGTAGAAAGTAAGCAACTGATTAACATTGTCCACCTGTTTCTGCCTTAGGACTTCTCCACGACTGCTTTGTGTAGCAACACAACAGAAAAATACTGGCCAGAACTTGGAAGAGGACCAGAGTCACAGCCAAAATGAGCAGAAGGTTGAACCCAGCTCTGCTGAAAAAATGTTAACTGAAGAAAAGGCCAAACTGGAAGAACAACTAAAAGAAGTTAATGTAAGTGTCTTTTGGTTGTCAGGTTGCCAACCTTACAAACCACATACCTAAGTGTGTTCATCGTGGATTCTCCGTGCACAATCTGGATACAGTTGTGTGACTGCTCTTTAGTTGTTGAGTAAAAACCTGCTATTCAGTAATTTCTTTAGAGACGTACTACAAGACCTGAGATACATCCCGTGTTCAAAATTAAGATTTCGTATAGTTTCTAATTTCTGGATGGAATTGGACCTTCTCCAGCATGAAAATTTGTTACTGAGCAGTTCACTTAGGCTTTGCGCAGTGGAGAGAGAACTTTTGGAAGTCCGTGGGAAGGGTTTGAGTGTGTCTTTGATGTGTGTGTTTGTGTGTGTGAAGAGCAGGCCTTCTGGAAACAGCTGCTGACTTTTCAAAGGTCGAGGTTAATGATGCTCAGCTTTTATATAATAGTGTACTTATTATGTACTTAGGAAGTGGAAGTTTCAAACCTCTGTCAGAGAGCCCTTCGAACACAAGGCTGAAGCGTCACGTTCCCTCTGGCCTAATGTATCTTGTGTTCTCTCCCACGCGTGACTTTGGCAGATGGTGAAGGATGCCGTGTGAGGTGTGGATTAAACAAAGGTGTTGCTTTTCTGGATGAGTGCTTTATATAAAATGCCCTTTTAGAGCATTTGAGACTTTCAAGAGGCAGCCCAGAACCTTCTATAGAAGCAGCACTTATGGATCATAAGTGGATTGAGTTTCCTTTCTGTTGCCCTTCCCAAAGCACTGAAGGACAAAACTTTAACATCTCTGTTTACAGCATTTGCTATTGGCTACCTGTCGTGACTCTGCAGTCAGCTTGTTGACTACTTTTACTCTGTTTTGAGATTCTTCACTAGCACATGAAGGTCAAGCATATTCAGAGTGGTAGCCCAACATGGAGTTCTGGGTTAGGTGGTGAAGCACTCAACCTGAAATGCCTAAGTTTATTGAATTTCATTCTTAGTACCTTTGCTGCTAGAGGGCTGTATAGCTAGGAGCAGACAAAAACTTAACCTGAACAACAGAGGAGTTAGACTTCATAGTTTTAAAGCTTAAAAAAACTGGAGGACACTCAGGTATGTATGGAGAGGGAAGAGACAGTTTGGAAGTCGTGGCTGGGTTGAATCTTGTTTGCCACAGTGTCAAAATACCTTATGGCTAATGGAGGCTTTCTATGAACACTCATCAGAAAAAGAGAGTATCTTTGATTCATAAAGCTTTATATATCTGTAGAGTTGAAAATTCCTTCCAGCTATATGTTGACAAATACTGAGAGTCTGGCAACCCATCTTATTTCCTTTCCCTCACTCCTGTCTGCACTGAAGGGAAGCAAACGTGCCTCAGTAGGAAGGACGCTGTGATAAGTGGCATGTTGTCTTCAGATTACTCTTTAGATGGTGGGTTTAGGCTATGTAACTGTTTAAAATGCTGTTTTATAGTGAATATATAGTTTTGAATTATTGTCACCTACCCAACCACCAGGAATGAAATCTCTTCTCTTACTTGTTTTTCTTCTTTAGGACAAGTACAAGCGTGCCTTGGCAGATGCAGAAAACGTGAGGCAAAGAAGCCAGAAACTGGTAGAAGAGGCAAAGTTATACGGTCAGTGGAGGCTCCTTTTGTCTGTACTCCTAAGACCCAGGGAATGCAAAGCCTGGAATATTGACTTCTGTCAGTTTTCTGCTGTGAGGCAGCTGACTGCCCGCAGTTTGACAAGTCGTACTGCCCAGTGATTCTGACTGCTTGGTTAAAAATGTGTTTGGGGCAGAGGTTTGAACAGTTCCTCACTTTGCATCAGAATTGTAATCATCTTGCTAGACAACGGCAAGACTTAAACTGTGAAAGCCAACAACTTGACATTTTCTTTAAATTTGGCATCTGATTTCTTCCAATATGTACTACACTAGTAGATTTTCCAGTAAGTAAGGTTTGCAGCCTGAAGTTTGCCTTTTTCATGCACTTTGGTCTCAGAACTGACTGCAAAAACCTGAGCTAAGAGCATGGAATACTAGCTTTCCTTCTGGTTTCGTTTTATTTTTTTTGTTCTTCGTATTTGTTTTGGGTTTGATTATTTTTTGAGTTTTGTTGCTGTTGTTTTTTCTTTTTTTTTTAGGCTTTTATCTTTGAATAACTTTTCTGTTCTGTTGAAGGCCATTGCTTTCAAATAGAATACCTTTAGATGGGTGGATTCTTTTCAGTGGTAGAAATATACAATCACTGGCTACAAGGAGTGCTAGAAACACATCTTTCTTCAAGAGCCAGGCTACCGACATCAGATTTAGCTTTTTGACAGTTCAAACACAAATCTGTAAACCAGAAATTGCCTGCAAATACTGCCACAGAAGAGTGCTGTATCACTGTGGCATGAAAAATGAGTTGGCCTTTTTTTGGAACACGCTATACAAAGCTGTATAGTTTAATTCCAAATATAGAAGTTTTAATTTCTGAATACAGGGTCTTCAGTTAATGTGTACTGTAAGAAAAAGCATTTCTCAGTTACATAGTATTCTTGTACCATTTCCATGGATGTTTGAATGCTTCATCCTCGAGTCGATTTTCAATAACCTTTGTCTCACTAATGTCCTATTTAGTGCAGAACGACTTTGAGTCATGTCTGAGCTCAGAGATGCTACAATAGAAATAAACAAAATTTCTCATGAAGACTAAATTACAGGTAACCTGCATATCATCTGTGTATGACTGCTTTTTCTGTTGAAGGAAGAGCAACTCATTTCTGAGACTTGCATAAATTCACAGAAATGCAGTCACAGATATCTGCAGAGATAACTTACACAAAAAAAAAAATCAAAACACCTTCTGAAGAGTTTGGTTATTTGGTTTGATCCAGGTCACTAGACAACTGGTTAGTCTATGTTTGGGACGCTTCACCCCTAACCACAGTTTTAGTTCTAATTTAAAACCTTGATTCATTTGTTCAGATTTTTGGAACTACCTGTACACTGTTAGTTCTCTAAAGAGCTCAAGTCTCGACAGCTGTGCAGTTGTTAAAGTGAGCCTCTCCTGAGAACTAGCTGATCCCTATAGATCTTGCAAGGTGTTTCCATTTTTTTTTTTTCATTTGTTTAAACCAAAGACTTGTCCTCTGGTAAAGCTCATATCGCTTCTTGGTAAGGAAAAAAAACATCTAAAATACGAGCTAGAATTAAAAAGGCTGTCTGTGGCTAAAAAAAAGAAAGAACAAGGCTACCAAAACACAGTGCCATTTGCAATTGGCTTATCTCTATGTAGAAATGTGTTGTTCTACTGAATCATTTTGATTTTTCATGATTTCTAGAGACAGTTTGCGTTAAGTGAGATTAGTCCAGATTCTGTTAGTGTAAGCTTGAGAACAGCTTCAGGAATTGTTAGCTTAGGAATTGCTTGGTCTTTGCAAGGCAAAGCTTCTGACCCTGTGAAAGTGGTTTGTAACAGGAGGGAGAGGTGTGAGTTCATTTCGTTCAAGGAAGAATCCTTGTTCATCTCGTGTACTCCTCATCGGCCTGACTACGTGCTTTTTCTTCTGCAAATATTTTTAGCACATCAGATTAAAGGGTAGGAATAGGACAACATAATGCTTTGAACTTTAGGTGAATTCCAGGATGAAAAACAGACATGAGGAAATTACATTAAGCCATCTGAAGTTTTTGGTAACTTTGGTTAGAATTTTAACCCTTAATGTCAGGTCATCAGCATAGCTTTAGCTCTTTTAAGTATTAAATTGAAATACATTTTTTCTGTAGAACTAGAGGAGGTGGTGTGGTTTCAAGGTATCTGTAATAGTTCCATATCGTCAAGTAAAATTGGGAAAGACATTTTACTCCAAATGTTTACAGTATCACATATCTTGTTTAAAAATCTAAAAGATGCCAGACTATTGCTGTGGGTTTTGGGGTTGTGGTCTTGTGGGGTTTTTTTAATGCTTGTTTCCCTCAGTGGACTAATCCCATTCCCTTCTCTTCTGTTTCTTTTTAGGGATTCAGAGCTTCTGTAAGGACTTACTAGAAGTTGCAGACATTTTGGAGAAAGCAACAGAAAGTGTTCCAAAAGAAGAAATTAAGGATGAAAATCCTCACTTGAAGAGCTTATACGAAGGTCTTGTTATGACAGAAGTACAGATTCAAAAAGTGTTTAAAAAACATGGCCTGCTCAGACTGAATCCTGTTGGAGCCAAGTTCGATCCCTATGAACATGAAGCATTGTTCCATGCTCCCATGGAAGGGAAGGAGCCTGGCACTATTGCATTAGTGTCCAAGATTGGCTATAAGCTGCACGGGCGCACACTGCGGCCTGCCTTGGTGGGTGTTGTGAAAGACGCGTAGCTGCTTGATCTGGGAATTTAAAATGCCATGCAACTATTAAACAGCTGGATGGTTTTTTCTCTTACACCATGCTTTCCTCATTCCTCTGCCCCCTGAGAGGTTTAAATGAATTGGTTGAGGTCTCCCGGTGAAAATGAAGCAACTGAGGAAATTCTCCTGCTTAGAGGCCTTCAACAGCACTGTTCTTCTCATAATCTCTCTTCTTAAGTGTGACATACAAGAGCCATTAAGCCCTCGTAATGCTTTAGAGTAGGCAAAGGTTTTGTACAACTATTGCTACTGAAGGTGCATTAAATTGAACGGAACTAAATGCTCACAAGAATTCTGCAATCTCATGTTTATCACTGTGTAGACTGAAAATCCAAGTCGTGGTTCAAACACTTCCTTTTGTTTTGTAGACTCTTAACATTGCAGAAGTGGGTGAAGTTGTACAAATAACCCGTTTTCTGCAAGCGTCCATCAGCTTTCACACACTGATGTGATAAATGCCCTTTTTTGTCTCTTCAGAAATAATCTCTCTCAGTGACTGAAACTGAAACCCTTGTGAATTCCGACCTGTAAATAAAAGGCAATGGAGAGTAGACAACTCTTGTAATTGTTCAACCCTTTTTGTTCCCTCGTAACGTTAACTCAAGAGAACCATCTAATACTTGTATGGCATTGAAGAACCAACAGAATTTATCCTATCTCTGGATTTTTAATTTAATAGTGTATAAATTGGTTTAAACAATTTTGATAGTCTTGTAACTTCCAAGCTTTACAATCAGGTTGTTATGCAAACTGTAGCTACAACCCTGCTGAAGCCAGAATGCCCAAAGCAGCGAGTAGCTGAGAGTTTGGTGTGTACACTCTTTTAGAATCACGTAAATTGCATGTAAGTGGCTCAAACAAAAACGGGAACTTAGTTTCATCTTCATTTCCTGCATTTACTCAGCTTGGATCTTCAGTTGCAACAGTACTTTTCCCATACGCAGCTCTTGCCATGTCTAAGTCTACCTGCTGCTCCCAATCCTGCAGAATCAGGCTAAAATACAGCACATGACTAACTGAATGCTTTGTCCTACACTTGTCTGGTCACCTGGATAGGAGTGGACGGAACTTGGCAAATTATACAACTGACAAAACATCTGTCCTCTCGTATCCTCAAGCCCACACATTTAACACACAGGACAGAAACTTCAGACTTATATTTAGGACCTGGTAAACAGTAAGTACTTTGGGATTTTTCAGGCTTGTTTCTGGTTGTCTTGGATTAAGGAGCTTCTTACATTAAGGTCAAGTATTGATTATTTTTTTTGGTTCAGATGCAGAGTTGCCAACAGCTTAGTGAACACTAGACCTACTTGTGGTGAGAAGTGATTACTTCTTCTTTAAGACGTTTTTCCAGTGCTTGGCTTGCCATCAGACAGTTAACTAGTAACAACCAAAGTGCACACTACTGTTTGGGAGTCAGTCTTGTTTAAGGATTCATTCTTTCTTTTTCAACTCTAAGAAAAGAAAATCAATGCTTTGACTGGGCAGGGGAGGAGAGAGAGTGAGTAATTTTTGGTGCATGTGAGAACACAACTAGAATGTTAATTTTTTTAAAACTAATTAAGTACAGGAATAAAAATGTAAAGATTGATTATAAAGCTACAGGAAAAAAGGGGATTCCATATATTTCAATTGAATTTGGAAGTAACTTCCTTCCATCTGGCTTAGAGCACACTGTAGCTGTGTGAACTGGGATTGAAGAAACAGTTTCGTTGCACTTTGATTGGAATCTGTGCTCAACAGATACACCATAAAAGGACCAGGGTCAATTTATATACCTTTTGAGAACCACCATGTGGTGTTCTGCCCCCTCCCAACCCCTCTGGATAAACTAAAGCTGATAATAACTTAATTAGTATAGCAGTTTTTTCCAGTAGGGCAATTAAAACAAAGGGACAGTTTCTTCCCTGGCAGATAGAAGATTTTGTTAATGAGCTTCCCAGCACCTCACACAAACTGTCTTTTTCGCACTTCATTAGGAGGATGTTCTTAAACACAAGTTACTGTTAAATGTTCATCACGAGACTCAAACTAGTATCTTTGCAGCTGATAACCGAGTATCTCATTGAAGTGGTTCCTTTGCCTTGGCCTGCCCTTTCCAAGGCTTTCAGTGTGGAGAGCTTCAGTCTTCACTAACAGCTCAAACCACCTGTGCGCTCTGCTGTACAACAGTAAGAAGCACTGAAGAAATCAAAGAGCAAAGGGAGACGGTTCTGAAATTTAAGCCTAAGAGCAGCCAACAAAACTACCACCAGTACCTCTGGTCTTGCTATTTCATAAAGACCACTTCTCCACCCATTGTCATTCAGCTAAAACATCTCCATTTGTTGTTGCAAAGACTTAAGCCATTTTCCTCGTTACGCAAGCTACGTTACATTAAATCAATACCGGAAAGAAACTTTAATACAAGTTTATTTACCAATATACAATGCAAAAACCAAGTAAAATGCTGAGTGTGCACAACATCCGTTAGGTTTTACACGATTTCAGCACAGGCATTTGTGTGTCTGGCACAGCTACACCAGTACACTATCCAAATGAGTGCAACATTCCCTTTAGGAAAGAAGCTGATGAGCTGAATATGCTCGCCAGGTACCTTCCTTCACAGTATTTAATGCGTCGTCACGTAAGAGCAACTGGGGCACATGCAAAAACGTTTTGCAAGAGAGAGTAAACTAAAAGGCCAATGAAGTCTGTTACAGTTGCGAAGGAATTTGCTGCAGCCACCCCACAAGAGAATAATAGCAGAGTGCTGCATTTGTGTGATTTACAAGGCAGCTTATGGTCAAAGACTCGTGCAAACCTACTAACACTGTTCTTGGTGCTCGCTGGGAGCGCAAGGGAACACAGGGCAGGAGGGTAACGCGCCCTTCTGCGCCTCGTGGTACACACAGAATGGAGATTAATGCTCCCTCGTTACCTAGTGAGCAAGTTTCCCTGTAAAACATCACTGAGACTGGGTAGATTGAAGTAAACATACAGCATTAAAACAGACTTATTGCTGACTCTATCAGTAGCAGAAGATCAGTATTTTGAACAGCTTATGGAGTGTCACTTTGTCATAGGCTTACATCAACGCTGCTAGGACAGATACTATCATTAGTAATATCTTTAATTAGAAAAGCCAAGAGCATTAAGCATATAAAACACCTTTTTGTTAGCAACATGAAGGCTAGGTTATCTGTACAGTACAGGAAGCACTTCCAGATCAACACGAGATAGAAGTTGAAGAGCTCTTTGCCATGTCTTTTCTCAGCCCCTTCACCACAGAAGAGAGGCAGTTGCTGGATTAACATAACTGCATCTCAACTTCAAACAAACAAACAAAAAACCAGCAGCTCATAACAAAGGAATGCTTAGGCTAAATCAGTTCCATGTGAAAACATGGAACAGCAGCATCCTCTAGTGCAAGTCACCTTTAAAAATTAAAAGCATAGCTGACAGTGAGACATTGCTTCTAGGGAAGCCCTTTCCAAGGGACTAGTATTTGCTAAAGCAAACATTTACCACCTTGAATTTGCAAGTATAAAATAAATATCAATATCCATATTTCATACATTAAAAATAGTTTATTTTACATTCATTTCGATGTTCAATAAGTTACGTCTAGCACCAAAGAAACATTTTGGAGGGGCTGAGGAATTAAGAAACTACAAAGTGTAAATGCAGAATTCACTTTGACATTTAAATGACTTGTTGGTGCCTAGATTTTTTCTTTTTAAGTTATTGTTCAGATGGGCTTTAGACTATTGCTTCACTTACTTAGACTTAGATGTGCCAAAACAGTGTAGAAATATAAAAATCACAGATTTGAGGAAAAAAAAAAATAATTAAATTATTTTAAATTCCCAGCTACATGCAGAGTTGAGGCTCCAGACCACTATCAGTAATGGTATGTTATGGCAGGCAGGTAACGAGTTACAGGAAGAACCAAATTGCATAACTAGAATACCAAAAGGAAAGGCTGAGCTCCCTTTCCACAGGAGTAGGACAGAGAAAACAACCAAGGGTTTACACCTCATGGACTTGTGTGCTGTTTGTACACGCTTACATGGTGGAAGTGGTTCTTAAAGCTACTCGGCACACTGGAGTTAGTTCCACTGCTGCCAAGGAGAGGCAGTTTTGCCTCTGGCATTCCACAACAGGCCACTGACAGGTAAGCCAAACGAAGTATTACATCCGAGAGGACATAGCCCTTACCTTTTGTGAAGGGAGACAACATCACAAGCTCGAAAGAAAAAGGCACTAGAGTTTTGGTTTTTTCTTCCTTAGAAATGCTGGCTTTGTCATTGAACCCCTTTTATTCTAAACTCACTGGTAACACTATTTTGGTAATTCTGGATATATTAACTAAACCCCAGTTCTGATCAGTGTACCTCTGCCAAGTTGCAGAATTAATACTGTTCTAAGATTTTTGTGGTATCCTCACCGACTACAGCCCAAAGCATCAAACCAACGTGACATCTCCAGCGCTCGCACTTGTTCTGAAGCCAGTCGAGTTCCATGTTTTGGCACGCCTGCACTCCCGAAGACCTGCCCAACTGGCCCCCGGTCGCAGCTTCCCGCTCTGGACATGACACGACCAGTAGAGAGGCTGAGGCACAAGTAACCCTGTGCCGTCTTCCATGTGGCAACCACCATTTTTTATTCATTTGGTTAAATACCAGCACGGGAATTCAAGGATGAAATGAGCATAAGAATCCTTTTCTAGTCTTCCTTCAGGATCTTTCCCTTAATCAGTAGATCTTACTAACACACCACTGTGGCTCTGGCACTTCTGATACATGCCGTGTTGCGTCACCAGCTGGTTCCTGTCGCAAGTGCCCAGGTCAGACTGTTGTCGTCGTCGCCAGAGCTGTGACGAGTTACCTCTCGCGGCGCGCTGTTCTCACTGCGGCGGGCTGCCTCCACGGCTTTCCTACCACGTCAGTGATTTCAACTTCTTCAAAGTGTTTCAGCCAGTACGTTTCATGGTACGTGCAATTAGAACCCTGGAATGGCTCGGTCATAGAATCTACGGCTCCGTACTTTAGGAGCACGTTGCTGTGCGTTTTGACCTCCTCTGCATCACTTCTCATTTTTGTTTTTAAAAACCAATCTTGGTGATCACTCTCCATTTGAGACTCACTCCCTTTCCCTGTCCCTCCCAATCAAATTCAGGAGGCAGCTACACCTCCTCAGCCCACACAAGCTCCAAAGGAGGAGCAGGCTCCCCCAACAAGAAGAAATGGTCATTTTGCTGCCCGAGTCTCCCAACCACTGCAAGACAACTCACTGCTGATTTTCCCAAACCAGCCACTTCACAGTAGTGCTGACCCCTCCTCCCAAACAGAGCACCACAGCTGCCGTGCACCCCTGCAACCTTGCTGCTAAGGAGTTAACCTTGAAGCTGCAGTGGGGTCGGTTTCAGCAAAAGCTGAAGTCACAGCTCCATCTGGATCAGCTGGGTGTGACAGTAGCTCTTCAAGAACCCCTTCCACAGCACAAGTACCTGAAGGCACCTCACTTCCCACACTTCCCTCCTTCCACTCCCTGCCACAGCTCATCCCTGCTGTATTCTGGACAGAAACTCTCACCTCGCTGTCCCAGCGCCTTGGCTGTAGTTACTAAGGAGAACGTTCTGAAAGCTTAGCAATGGTCACAAAAGTCCCGCTCACCGTGCTCCTGAGCTCAGGACTTGTGCAAGCTTCACTTGGCTGCCAGCATTACGACAAAAAACAAAACAAAGCGAGAAGAACGTTTCCAGCAAATGAAACTATCTCCCACCTTGAAAGAAAAGCAAGAATTACACTGATACTCATTTGTCCAATAGTAAGGAGTAAAGTAATTACTCTGGGACCACTAGACTTGAGTCTCAAGTTCGCATGAAAGAAATCTGTTCTAGTAATGTACCAAAAGCAGTGAAATCCAATGTAAAGTTTCACAATTAAGTATTTTCCATGATCCAAAGCAAGAGTCTATTTGAACCATGGATCATGAACACTGTGGGGGTTTATGTATTTGCTTTTTTGTTGTTAAGTGACATCATTTCTGTATCTTTGGGGAGGGAAGGAAAAAAATAACGGAGTTCTTCAGGCCCTAATGGGCCTGTGCTGTGTTTTTCCAGATCAGCTCAGTTTCATGAAGCATCCCTGGATATCCAGCCACTTTCTGTTAGAAAGTTTAAAATCCTTTTCTTCAGTACCTTATCTAAGTAACTGGGAAGGCGACTCTTTGAAGGAATTCCTTGTCTTTTTTGGAGATGGTCTTTAATGATTATTGTTTTTACAGTAACATAACGTGCCGGACTCAAATTTAGAGAGCTGCAGAGCACCTTCTCCCTGTCCGATAAGAGTTCAAAGCCAGGCAGGTTTTCAATCGCAGCAAATTCGCCTTCTTTACCATCTTCCTTCCCTCTCTTGGAACTAGCTATGTTTTTGTTCTCCTTCCTCTTTTCCCGTTTGTGCCTGGCTGCCTCGTATTCTGCTGACTCTTCCATTTTGGTGATTCCATTTCGACGATACCGCTGCAGCTCCCTAATCTTTGCTCTAAGTATCCTCTCCTTGTGCATGTTCTCAAAGAAGTCTTCAAACTCCTTACAAGACATGAACTGGTACAGAGGCCTCAGTTTTAGCCTCAACTCCTTCTCTTCTTTTGTGATCTTTCGTTTGGGAGCTTTCTCCTTGTCCTTTTTGTCCTTCCCCAGAAAGGCCGGTACCAAGTTATAGTCTCGCGCGATGTTCTTCCGCCGTTGCCGCTCCTTGAGTTTCCTGACGTACATGTCTACGTGAGCTCTTTTTAACTCTATTTCCACATCATCGTCATCATAGTTCACCGAAAGGCCGCTGATCAGAGTCTCCGCGTCTTGATCATATTCGATCTCGTAGTCGTCTCGAAGCGGCATGTATCCCAACTGCTGCTGCTCGGCCACCGATATATCCAACGGCGGGGGGGGGGGGGGGAGGGAAAGGCCGCCGCTGGGACACGTGTGATCCGTTACTCTGTTGGGAATAGTGTCAGGGATGCAGGCTTTTCCCAGGTTGCCATGAATATACATGCTCACATAGTGTTCCATCACCTCCTGAGGCGTTCGGGACGCTCCCACGTGAGCAGCCATGTCCTCCTAAAGGGAGAATAAGAAGGAGTGATAAAACGATTCCCGTTACATCTCCAGCATAACAAGCGCTCAGGTAAGAGCATGGTTTCTTCCCTGCTCCTCAAAAGCAAATTCACGGTACCTAAACTTTTCCAGCAATACTGAAATTGGCCACCTTTCCCTCAGATTGGCATTTTTAGGCCCAGATGAGTATTTACAAACGCACAGGGGCATGTCAACCACACAAGCACCCAGCAGCATCACGTAAGCCAAGCTGCATCAGACCCTCTAGACAGAGGAACACCATCACGACACTGGAGCACATCGTGATTTCTGAGCATCCATCGCTCTCTCAGTCAGCTAACCATCACCAGAAAACTTTTTAAGTCCCAAGCCACCACTAAGATTACTCCATGGTTTGGATTTTCCTCATTTATATTGCATTGCTGAAGCACTTTTAGAGCAAGACAAAGACAGTATTTACAGTAAGAAGGATACTATTTGCTCATTTCTAGCTATTTAAGGACTAAAACAAGATACAACGATCATAAATTTTAAGATTTTGAAAAAGTCTTTACATTTAATGAAGCAAAACGTAACCAAGTCACAATTAATGAATCAAACGATGATGCTTTTTGCTGCTATTTTCTAAAAACGAGCCTGACTGTACCCTGGCACAGCAGGCATGCAGCGGGTTTGCAGCACTGGAGGAAAAGACTGAGCGCTGAGACGAAAAGGGCACGAGACCTGTGGCACAACCACGCGGGGGAAGGCACGCGCTGGAACCTCAGGCAGCGAGGGGCCCGCGGAGCCTGAGGCGATCCTTCGGCCCGCGGTTCTCCCACAGGCGGCTCCCGCAGGGCCG